TCCTTTTGCTGGGGCGTCGCTCCTCTTCAGGGGGACACGTCTCCTGCTAAGGGTGCCCTTCCGCTGCCAGGGGCGCCCCTCTTGAACAGAAGGTATTTTATATTCTTGTAACGAGACGCCCTCTTCTGCTGGGGGAGCCCATCTGCTGCTGGGGCGACTCTCATCTGCTGGGAATAGGCAATTGGGCGTCACTCTCCTGCTTGGTGAGCCCAATTTCTGCTGGAGGTGCCCTATTTCTGCTGAACCTTTGCTGTGTCGCCGCTCTTATGCTCGGGGCGCCCTCTCTGCCGCGGGATATGGGCGCCTTTTTCGGATGGCGGGGGGGGGGGGGCGGCCGCCCCCGTCACCCCCCCCCCTGGATCCGCGCCTGAATGGGAGAAAATTGAAATGCGCCTCTTTTGGATGCAAGACATTATAAACACTCCCAAACACCGAATTACAAGTGGTTTAGACACACTGAACATGAAAATGGTGCCCGTGACCCTTGTTTATGCCCTGAGGTCATCTTAGGTCACGAATGGTATCTAACAGTTTTTCGCAAATAACTTTTGATAGAGGCATGCTAGAGCGATGAAAACGCCTTAGATCTGTTCAGCTCGACGATACGGATCGACTGATATGCAACATGACCCTTTCCGGTCAGGTCATGACCTTGACCTGAGGTCAAATTTTCAAGTTGACCTTTCAAGGTCAAGTTATAGTTCATTCGATGCGTCTTGACGAGAGGAACACGATGCTGGTAAAAGTAAGCTCGTACAAGGCTGGGGTCAAAAGTTATTGCAGAAAAACTGTTTCCGAAAAAATCGGCTATTTTTGCAGTTTTTGCCCCCTGCAGGCAAAACCGTTGACGTTAGGTCAAATCTGAGTGAAACACTCAGAAAGGGCGTTAATAGGGCTATCGAATGCGCTTTTCCGCGGCGCTGTAGCTCTATTGGATCCCGAGTTATGCGTTGGCTTCTTGGAAATGTTCGACATTCGACCTGGAAATCGGCGAAATTTTGCCTTCAATGACCTCTGGTGACCTGACCTTTGACCTGACCAAAAAATTGACCGAAGTGATTTCGTCATTATTTTTTACGCTCTTTCGAACGCCGCCTTCCGCGTATCGCTACGTGGCCCAGGAGCCGAGTTACAAGGGGGGGGGGTGTTCAAACACCCCCCCCCCCCCAGCAGGGCGTGGAAATCCAGGACCCCCAGCCGGGCGCGGGTTAAGCTGCAGGTAGGGGTCCTTTTCGAGCAACTTAAATTGTGCGTTTTTCTGTATTTCGTATTCTATGCCAAATTTCTTTCAAAACTTTTCGAAATTTTCAAAAATGTTATTCAGGTCATTTACTGTTCAATTCCACATCAGCCTAAGCAAAAATGACGAAAAAATATCAAACGGTTTTCATTTTACAGCGGTTTTACTAAACCACTACCTTACTGTCTCAAATAGCCCCACTGTCTCAAATAGCCCCACTTTACGGTATCCGCGAAAAACCTCAGGTGGGGGGGGGGGCGGATATCCGCCCCCCCCGTCGGTGCGCGGGTTAAACTACTAGACGGATTCACAAAATTTAAAACTGCGTTCGATAATCCCTGTCGAATTTGTTGAGGAAAATTTAATTTCATTTACCTTGGCGTCACCAATGACGTCACAGGTCATGTCAAAGATAAAATGTTTTACGGTTAACGGGTCTTCTAATCAGGGTTGTATACCAATCAAGTCGATTGAATTGATTGATTTGTTTCAACGCGTATTTTGAGTTGATTGGATTGAGTCGATTGACTTTTTGAGATGACTGGTTGACTGACTCGTTTGACTTTAGCGACTGGTTGACTGATTTGATTCCCGAAAATTAGAGCGACTCGTATGATTGAGTCGATTGAATGGAAAGTTCAAATAAGTTTTAGTTGACGAAAAATAATGACAATAATTGATGACATCATAGATCACAAAACTACACTGAAAACTGCTTGTCATCACAACTGCAATATGGGGTAGATGGCCAAATAAAGAACAGGGCCTATACATGAACAGCCAACTTTGACTTCCAACTGCAATAACTGCTCCAATCCTGGTGATAGAACCTGGCGATGCACCTACCTACCTTTCTGCACTCAGCAGGAAACGTTTTTTTTTTTAAATCCAGATGATAAAGTGCAAGGCCCTATATACTAATAAAGTGTGATTAATTAATAATTCACATCTCCACATCTCCTCAGAAACAACCCACTGAACTCTACAAATGTCTGAAACCCCTACAAAAATAACTGAAACAAAAGCGCCGTTTTTGTCTCGCTAATTACGTTTACGTAACTAATTAATAGCTAATTTGCTGCATTGTTTAATTTGCAGCAGAACGTTTGTTGGTTTTTTTCTCCTGAGAGCCTAAGCATAACATATTTAATATATTTCATTTTCCTTAAAATATTTTACCGAATATTATTAAGTGGTTTTATTTCAAATGAAATAATAATTAAAACGATATTGGTGTTGTACAACCGATTTATTTTATGATGATCTACCATACTACATGATAATCAATAACGTCATCTTACCAAAAAATCAAAAGACGTAGAATAAGGATTTATAAAAGCTTAGCCCCATCCCACGTCTCAAATGCACATTGTGTGGGAAGATTTTTCAGGCTGCCCGTCAGTCTCTGTCTAACCGAAACCGTCAAATGCAGGTAATATATTTATTTCTATTTCCCTATGGTTAATATTTTATTGATGCATATTATCCATTAAAATAGACATAGTGTAGGGTAAATGGCCAAATCACGAACACTGCCAAACTCCGAGCATTCAACTTTCAATTGCAATATCTGATATTTAGTGTAAATGGAGTTGGAATATGGCCAAAATTAAATTGACAACTTTTAGGTGAAAGGTGGTGATTTGGGTTAAGGGGCGAGTCAACTACTGGGTTATTTTGCACCCATTAAATGAAACTTCTGCTCCAATTCTACCCATTGAACCTCAATATCATGATCCACCTGTCCATCGCTAGGCATCCTTCCTTATTACATAGAAACTTTGAATGGTATGGCAATTTATAATTTTAAATGATCATTTTTTATGTTTCTTCTGTAGGTAGGTAGGTTGTAGGTACACCAGACTGCTATGGACACTTTTCCAAGTTGGTGGGGCAAAAAAAAACCTAATGTATGTCTTGGTTTGAGTCGTTTGATTGAGTTGATTGATTCCTTTCATTGTCGCGTTTGAGTCGATTGAATCAATTCCCGAAAACTGCTCTGACTTGATTGATTTGATTGGTTTCCCAAATTTGTCGTGATTGAATTGATTGCTATTGATTGAGTCGTATACAACCCTGCTTCTAATGTCCTTTTTAGTGCAACATACGCAAGCACCTGCACGCCCTTGACCAGTAGCGGTCGGTGCTAGACTATTCGTTTCTAATTTTTCGTGTAAAAGACGACCTGAAGACTGCAGTTAAGCATCGGGTTTGGACTGAGGCAGGGCACTCATTATGCTCGCATCATTGACCTATAATAAGTATACTTATTATAGGTCAAATTATTATTATTATAATTATTATTACTTAATTATTATACTTATTATTATAAGTATAATATATATATATATATATATTCCAATATATTATACTTATTATTACACTTATTATTATACTTATTATAGGTCAATGGCTCGCATACAGTAAACGGCCATTCAACATTTTAACGGTGAACGGCGGGGTCTTTCGATTTAGCTGAAATTCGGTGTATGTACGTACGTTCAGTATCTCAGGGGCAGACAGACAAGCCGTTATGTGTTCCTAGCCATCGTGGCTGTGAAAGAGTATGCGTTTTGTTTACGATTCGCCAAACAATGCATAATACATTTGCTCGTTGAAAAAAGAAGATCATCTAGTTAATTGTATTCGGTGATATGAAAAGGCTGTGGCATTTATTATTTAATTTCCTCGGTTGAGATTATCTAGATCCAGTGTTAGGTTCCTTTGCGGCATTGTGTTCGGTATGTTGTCCTCGTTTGCAAAATATCTCATGTGTGATCAGTCACTATTCCGGTTTCTACAAACCGTTTCCGTAATAGACGTATTCCAGACGACAGTGGCATTAATATACAAAGATGGACTCGTTTAAGTTTTTTTAGTCTAAAAATAACGTATTCCTGTTTAGGTTTTCGTTGTCAATTGCCACGAGTGGCTTAAATTGTTACTCGTAGGGAAAGAGTCTTGCTCCAATAGGTACTGAGTAATGTTTGTGTCAAATGTGGAAAGAAACAAGTATTCATAGGGACTGTGATTTTGGGCGTTTACCTACCGTTTCCGAATCGCCACGACCAGTAGCGGCGGAACACCCTCAGTTAAGGGGGGCACTGCCGATTTTTTGTCCCATTCTTTCCATGCAACGCCCATAGGGCTAATGTTAAAATGCCAAAATCAAAGGGGCACGGTGCCCCGGTGCCTTCCCCGTTCCGCCGCCTATGGCCACGACCATGGTGGCGACTGGCGATACCCGAGTACCTACAACCAGGCACATAGCCAATGGAGGGACGACAGGGTCAGCCGTCTCTCCCTGGAGGCTGGAGATGGACCACTTTTATTTTTATTTTCATTTTTATTTTTGTAAATGAAAATGTGGGCCCCTCCCGAAAAATAGTGGGCCGAATCCGGGGACTTTTCGGGTTTTGGTGGGGGTATACCTGGGCTCCGGCAAACTACAACCCCAATGAAAAACAAAAAGTTCCACCTCTGATACAGTATGAAGAAGCCCAGCGGCCCGGAGCGAATAAAACGGTCTTCTCGGAAGGCCTTTGCATTCCGACCCCACATAGCAATGTCCGGATGCTTTCAGTCGAAATGGAAAGCCTTTAAGAATGATCCATCTCCGGACGTTGCGAAGCATGGCTCGTCGGATGAAAAGATACTGGTGTCCACGGTATATAGCACGGTATATAGAGAACTCTGGTGTCTGCGGTCCACTACTCTGGGTCCTCTCCTCCAGCCTCCATAAGCCGAATGTTACCCTGATTGCCGCTCTCACTACGCTGAGACCCTATTGGCCGGCGACTCCGTCCGGCTCCGCCCTCGTCCGGGCGTCGCACCAATCAGCGACTCCGTTCACCGGCCCACGGTAAAAGCGTGGGAGGGAGCCACCGGGCTCTCCCAATTTCTCACTCTCCGCTGAGATCCCAGTGTGTGCGTCCGTGCTAGTGCCTCCCACACGACGCCAGAGCCATGGACGACGCCGCGGCGAAGCTGCACTTTGCCTCTCTGCTGGGGATGCCGCCGCAGCTCATGTACCCGTTCATGTTTCCGCCGGCGGCGTGCACGCTCTACCGCACGCCGACCAGCTCTCCGTCGTCGAGCCCGCCCGGCTCGCCGGCGCTCGCCGGCTGCGAGGGCTCCCCGCCGTCCAGCAAGTCGTTCACCATTGACGCCATCCTGGGCCTGCGACCGTCGCAGGAGCGCGCCATGGAGCCGCAGCACTGCGCCCGCCTCACAGTCGATGGAGCGACGGACGCGCACAAGGACAAACTGGGTGAGTGTCGTCGGGGCCGTGTGTGCCGGGAGTGGGGTGTCTAGGAAAGGTCTCAGGTCAGGTCGGTGGAGAGAGTACTTAATTGTGCCTGGGAGTGCAGGCGGTGCTTAGTTGGATATTGAAGAAAAGCACTACATAAATCGCCTACTGTCAAGTGAAAATGTTAAGCCCAATGCTCTGCCTTGTTACATCTTGGTGCGTTGTTCCTGGATATCATTTTTGTGAAGAAAAAAGAGGTAGCCGCAAATGTAAAAGACTTGTCCAACATTTTGTTATAACCCTTAAATATCAGGTGTTGGCTTGGTGTTCTTTGTTCACGATTAAATACGCATAAACGAGGTCCATGCTATCAGTGCCTCAGTCCTCTTACTAATTGTTGATTGTAAAATCGGCATCCTTTTATCATGTTTTAAATGCATATTTCGCTGGTTACTTGCCAAAGACTGAGATGGCTCCCTATCAGCAGGTCAGGACCACTAAAGGACCGCCGTGTTTACTGCCGTAATGTAACTTTGGCATTACTCTACCGGTGCCTTTAACCCTCGCCCGTAAACGGCGATCTGCCACCTTCGCCCATGCAGGGGGGGGGGTTGGTGCGACCCCCCCCTTGGTGTTTGAAAACGGAGCGTCGTAGAGCTTAGCGGAAAAGACCAACGGATTGCTCTCGCCGAGATCTCGCGATTGGTGGTATATTTTTTGGTCCTAGGTCAACATTTGACCTACTTTTGACCGGTCAAAGGTCAAATTTTCGAAAAAATAGACTTTTTCAAATTTTCCGCGGCGATTGCGGCAAAACGGTGGGAGATATCGACTTGAAACCTTCACTATCGTGTTCCTTGATCAATTCTCTATCGTTTGGTATGTATTTCGTTTCCCTAGCTCTAAAAATGGCGCGTTGGGAGCGCCGGAAGTCGGCAAGGTCACAGTCGGCGGCATAAATTCGAAAAATCAAAATTTAAATTTTTTAAATCTGATTGTATTTTTGGATTTGGGATGTCCATTTGCTCCCTATAGAAGCTAATATTGCTGCATATTCCCATTGAGGTGACAAGAATTAGCAAAATAGTGGTTCGGGCGCTTTTCAAAAATAGTACCGGACGCTGTTCCTCTTGTGACGTCATAGCTCCGTGACCTGACCTGACCCTGTCAAGTTTCTTATACCATATGATAGCCAATACTTGCCCCAACATGCATGGGAAGTTTCATCACGATCCATCAACCGATGTCCGTACCACCGGCAGGAAACCTCGGGTGTTGGCACTCAGTTTGTGAAAATCCGGCCGGAGGCTGTTCCCTTTGTGACGTCATAACTCCGTGACCTGACATGACCCGGTCAATTTTTTTTTATCAAAAGATGCGCAAGGTTTGCCCCATAAGGTACCCAAAATTTGGCGGCGCTGCGCGCCGCCGTTTTTGCACTATTTCCGAAAAACCTCAGGGGGGGGGGGGTTGCACCAACCCCCCCCCCTACATGGGCGAGGGTTAATGTACACGTGCCGTTTTCGATTGAACAGCTGCGCCTATGCTCTGAATCTTCCGAGATAGCGGCTTGTCTATCGCACACATCCATTTCACAACGACCGGCACTGTGTGGCACAGATCGGCCGACCGAAATAAGATTCGTTATATTTGGGCACCTATGCATGTAAAACTACACATCCAAATACTCATTTACACTTTTGAAATAAAACGGGCAAGCCGATTTATCATTTAGATAACATAGAACAGATACAGGAGATAAGGCAAGGAATTGTAACCAAAAGCAATTAAATAAGGAAGGTTTGTTCTAAACAAGAATAAGGAGCATTAGCATGAAGGTAAAGCTGGTGATTCTGAACAGCTTATCTTACGGTATTTTATTGAAAGACCTTCTTATGACGGAATGTTGCCATTGATTGCTGTTTTTTCGATCAGAAATTCCAAACGTTAGACTATATTTTGTGGTGGCTGCTGGAGAAATGCCAATGGTTTTCACCCAAATTGATCTTGTCTTACGGCTAGAGGCTAGTGGAGCCTTTTGACCACCATATCTCTACTTTTATGGCGTGTGGTGGCCCGTGATCTGACCGCGCCTCCCCCCGACAGGCGTGTCCGGTCGGCGCGTGGGGCGGCCGAAGCGCGTGCGCACCATCTTCACCACGGAGCAGCTGGACAGCATGGAGAAGGCCTTCACCATGCAGCAGTACATGGTCGGCAAGCAGCGCTGCCACCTGGCCAAGACGCTCAACCTGCACGAGAACCAGGTGTGTTTCACAGGTGGTCCTGGTCTGAGCATGGTCTGATCCGTTCATCCTACAGTTATCTTGGATCTTATTATCTATGCTAACCGGCAATGTTTACAATTTACAAAAATTTAGTTAATGGGCGCAAAATTACCCCAGTAGTCGTCGCGTTCTAAAGCTCCAATAAAGAAAGAAACAAACTCAGTTGCAATTGTTAAGAACTTTTGCCCAATTCGTTTCGCAGGTGAAGGTGTGGTTCCAGAACCGCCGGATCAAGTGGCGCCGTCAGAACTTGGAGCGGGAGCAGGCCCGACTGGGCCAGCTCTCTCGGCGCTCCGACTCGCCGCCGACCGGCGCCGGCCGCGAGCTGTCGCAGCTCGAGTGTCCCGCCAGCCCGGCCAGCGCCGGCGACCGCCGCTCGCCGGCCCTGGAGAGCTCGCAGCTCGACCAGCGCCGGGAGTACGCAGAGCTGCCGAAGCTCTGTGACCCGCCGGTCGTCACTGAGACGTAACAGCCCATTGAGGAGGCCCGAGAACCCAGGTGGTGTTTGACCGGGACTATGTCTTCCATGTTCTGGTAATCGAGCTAAACTTCGGTCGCCAATATTTCGTCATCAGACATTCGTGTTAAATAAGGCACAGGTTCACAACGCTAATCTTTCCGCTTATCCGATCTTCATACATCTATTGGTCATTTTTTTCAAGCCTGATGAATTTTTGTTTCTGCACAACACCTTCGACGTAGTTTCGTTGTCTGATGTGTTATTTATTGAGCGTGTTCCTACGAGTGATTGGGCAGCAGCTGTGCCCGCAATGTTCGTGCGTTAGATGCTGATGTCGCTTGGTAGAGGTGGGAGCTTTTGGTGTTCGTTTGATCTGTGATAAAGAAGAATGCATATATTCTCGGCATGCAATCTTAGAAATAGATATGGAAAAAGTAAGCCTGAGTCGGTCGTCCGATGATTCAACTTTGCAGAAATGATAGCGTCATAACCGTTTTGAAAACTATTTACTTCTAATATGACACGGACTATGTGCGTACCTTTACCTACAAGATGAAACTTAACATTTTACGTTTGATAGCTTGCAGCAGAAAAGCAAGACCCTATATGTCTGTTACCAGACGGAACGATATTTTTATTTGAGTCCTCCCTAACGTATAATCTAAACGTGTCGTCAAGTTAACCCGCGCGGGGCTGGGGTCTCCAGCCGAACGCGCGGGGCTGGGGGGGGGGTAAATTTTACCCCCCCTGTTATCTCCCGAACTAATGGTCCGATTTGGAAAATTCAAACGCCAATCGAAAGCTCTCATCACGAACTACTAAAAACATGTACTTAATTTAAAGTTTGAGGTCAAGGTCAAGGTCAGGTCAAGGGTACAAATTGCAAGTTTCTACAGTATCGGCCTTGCACCGTAGTTGCCGAAGAATGGAGTCATGGACTGAGACTGATCGCCCAAAACGTGTTCTTAGGCTACCAAGACAATATTCGTTGCATACAATATCATTCAGAGGTCAAGGTCAAGGTCAGGTCAGGTCAGGTCAGGTCACCAAAAAGCAAAATATAGAAAAGGGCATGTGCGACACATGTTTTATGGGTCATTTTACTCATAGAATTCAATAGGCACACTCAATAAGTGATATGGACCACCTCAGGATGAATTTCAGGTCGAGGTCAGGTCAAGGTCAGGTCAAGTGAGGTCAAATTTTGAAGTTGGTTGTTAAGGTCTAAAAAGGTGTCTATCTGATGCAGTATTTCACGGCGAATCGAATGGTGCTATTTTTGTTTCCGTACGAGGTCTAGAACTTCCAAAAAAGTCATTTTTCAAAAAATTTGTGTGTCGTGACGTCATAAAATTTTGAATAACTCCCACATTTTTGAACCGATTCTTCTAAAATTTGGTATGTGGGTGCACATAGACCACTTCTATGACATATATTCCGGTTTTTTCGATAGACTCAAAATTTTGGATTTTATAATGATTTTCCCAAAAAAGTCAGTTTTTTTAAAAAAATTAGGCCAAAATCCAACATTTTCAAAAAACCGAGATAGCCATTTGATAGACAAAGTAAAATTACGTATAACCTTTTTTGTTACGTCTTGATTCCTTTACAAATGAAGATGTTAGCGGCGTTTGAACTTTTGCCGTTTTTGAGGCGAAAATGGCGAACATGACGTCACTTAAACGTCAATTTCTCAAAAATTTTCCGACGGATTTCGCTCAAATTTTCAGGGAGCGTGTCAAATTGATGTAAGAAAAGGTACTGAAAGTTTGGCGGCGCTGCGCGCCGCCGTTTTTGAGATATCGCAAAAATTCGCGAGGGGGGGTAAAATTTACCCCCCCCCCCCAGCCCCGCGCGGGTTAAGTCCGTATACATTTATGATACGGATATTTCACTTGTGCATGCTCGGTATGTCAGTGGTATCCATTAGCCTGTAAATATTGATCGACATATGTATGTGTTATTGTAAGAATACAAGCCCCGATGCATCATCGCTGTGTTTACATCCGATGCCTTGAAAAAAGGACATAAAAGCAATTAGGAATCAGTAGACTAGCAGTTCCGAAGTGACCACCGTTGTTACAGCATTGATTTGGCAACATAGTTCCGACGAATGATGGGCTCTTTTTCTAATTGCCTCATGGCTTATGTCCTTTCATTAGATAATTATCTCAATGTTCATCACCTAGAAATGGTGTACAGGAAAATCGGGTCGCGTTTTGCTTGCTTTTTTTGTAAAAGCCTTTTCAACCAAACAGTAGTATTTCTGGCTGCTGCCTGCTGGGGCACCCATCTGCTGCTGGGGCGACCGTCTTTCCTGCCGGAAATTGTCAATGGAGCGTCCCTCTCCTGCTTGGTGAGCCCAGCCTCTGCTGGAGGCGCCCTATTTCTGCTCAACTTTTGCCATGACGCCTCTCTTCCGCTGGGCGTCCCTCTCCTGCTGGAGGAACCTCTCTTCTGCTGGGGCCCCTTTCCGCTGCCGGGGGAAGCTCTTCCGCTCTTCTACCAGTGGCACCATTTTCTTATTCTACCTCTTTTTTGATGGGGGAGCCCATCTGCTGCCAGGGCGGCCGTCTTCTGCTGGGAAAGGGCACCTCTCTGATCTCTCCTTTTACTGGGACGTCGCTCCTTTTCAGGACACCTCTCCTGCTCAGGGGGATGCCATTCCGCTGCCATGGGCGACCCTCTTGTGCAGAAGGTATCTTTTTCTTCTTGTAATGAGACGCCCCTCTCCTGCTGGGGGGGGGGGGGAGGACTGCTGCTAGGGCTAGGGCGATCTCCTGCTAGGGCGATCTGATCTGCTGGAATGGGCAATGGGGCGCCGATCTCCTGCTTGGTGAGCCCAACTTCTGCTGGAGGCAGTGGCGCGGGAACCGGGGGGGGGCTAGTGGGGGCTGAACCCCTCCAACTTTTCGGCTGGGGTGTCTCGTAATGTATTTGAACCCCTCCAACTGGAGGAATCGAAATAAAAAAATATACCAACATAATTTCATAGATTCATACATAGGCGCGGGATCCGGGGGGTAGTGGGGGCAGGGCAGCTTGCGCGTACAACTCTGGGGCCGTGGGGGCGGTGCCCCACAACTTTTCATAAGGCCAGGAACCGTTGGGACAACTTGTCCTCCCCAAATTAGGGGTTGTGGGTCACAAAGGAAGAAGGCATGTAGGAGTGAAGAATCCACCTCTTTCACTGGCTCGGCAACTCATTTGGCAGATTAAAACCTTTATTCCAGGTTCCCAAAACGGCAGTTTCTTCACTCAACTGAGACGGAATATCTCACTTTTTTGCAAATGTTTTCGTTTATTTTTTCGTCGAAGAGGCCAAGGTGTGAAAAATAAGTGGCCTAAAACCGGTGAGACAACTAGATTTGGGGGAACCCTAGGTTGATCTATGTTATGTTGTAGCCACCCCCCCCCCCCCGGCAGTCTGGAAGAAGTTCCCGCGCCACTGGCTGGAGGCGCCCTATTTCTTCTCAACTTTTGCTGTGGCGCCGCTCTTCTGCTCGGGGCGCCCTCTCTTGCCGTGGGCCAGGGGCGCCTTTTTCGGATGGAGAGGGGGGCCGGGGGGGGGGAGGGCGCAGCCCCTGCGGCCCTCCACTGATTCCGCGCCTGGTATTTCAGTGTCATATGAAACGAAAATAAGGGATAAGATAACATAAAATAACACATCTCGCACCGTTGGCGCACCGCGGCGATTCACTTCATCCCGGGATCCTAGGAGGGCCATTGAGCCTCATAAAGATCACCCTCCCCCCAGACAGTTATTCCCTCCTTCGGAGATACTTTTACCTTGGGAATATACTCGCGAATATGTAAAATGAGCAGGATAAAACAGATGGTTGGTGACCAAGAAAAAAAGAAGTGCTAAAAAAAATAAAGAATAAAGAATAAAGATGGCCAGAACAGTAGGTGAGTCCAGTAGCTAAGCCTTTTCATGGCTACAGATACAAATTTGCAATGTCAGTATCAAATATCCCGCCACTCCGGGCTCCCATATGCACAGTAGTTAACCGGAAAAAGCTCTCGACTACTATCGGGAGCTGGATGGTGCATGTCTAGTTATTACACCCACCCGGTATTGGGTTGTAGAGACGGTTCACTTCCAGTCCAGAACAAAGCAAAAACGCTCACCTAATCACCCAGCTCACGCTCCTAGTGCATAGAAGGACAGCAGTGCAGCTGCAATGCAGTTAGACTGAGAGGTCTAATTGTGAGCGACGGCCTGGCAAATTCCAGCCGTGAAGTTTGGCGCTCGAGCTGCGCGGAGGCTGACTTGGCAGGCGGAGCGGGTCGGTACGGAGAAATCGCCGACTAATTGGACCCGGCCGGGGCGCGAGGCGGCGCGAGACGGTCACAAAGGTGTCGCCGTCCACCGGCGGCCTGTCCGTAATGGGGGACGCTCGACTGCACGCTCGGTATGACCGGAGCGGGCGGACCGCCGCCGCCCGCCGACCCCCCAGGTGACCGCGGCGGCGGCCCGAGTCAGGAGTCAGAGTCAGAGTCAGAGCGGTCTGACTCGGCGGAGTGCGGGTGGGCGCCGGGGGACGGCGGACCGTACTGTGTGCAGACGGAGTCGCGCCGCGCCGTCTGCGGGCACCGGGTCTCTCGACGGGGTGCGGGGACACGGTCGGACCCAGCGGGACACGGGTGGGGTCTCAATGGGCCCTGTCCACCGGCGGACGGCCAACGGGCCGCTAACGGCTTCCGGGCCCGCCCCGCTGCTTTGTGCCCACCTCATGAAGACGGGCGCCTCTCGTCCGGGCGGCGTTCCAGGCAGACCCTTTCAGAGAGCCCTGCGAAGTAAGTGAAAATGACATGTCAGCCCCTCCCTTTCCGCAGAACGGGCCGGCGCCGCCCTGTCTCGGCCGTCCCCGCACACCTGTGTGACTGGTGACCGGAGGGGAGCACTGGGTGCCGGCACTGACCCCCCGTCACTGTTCCGCGGGGGGGCAGTCTGGGCGGAGGGGCAGTCTGGGCGGAGAGGGTGCGTCATTCCTTTCCGATCGATCACTAGAAAACTCCGGACCCGGCGTGATAGCGAAATTCCACCGCCATTCATGACTTAATGAAGTAGATGTGAAACCAGCATTACACGGGAGGCAATTTTGCTCTGGCCTTCAATTACTCGACTGAATTCGCCCATTACGTTTCTAAATTCTTTTGATAGTGCAACTCTGAACTCACGACGCATTATAACGGTGCAGTCTATGAAAATGAAAGCAGACTAACGTTAAGCAGAACCCCACACAACCTTTACGTTACATGGACAGTTGCCGCCAGTCTCAGCAACGGAAATCGTTTGAGCATCCTCGAGTAATGTCTGTCGTTTGTCACGACGTAACTGCAGGAGAACATCTCTGCTTCTTGGGAACGTATCTTTTCTCTCACACCTATACACAATTAAAGGGACCCTCCCACCTTCAAAAAAGTTAATGAATTGGCATGAAAGTGATGTCGCTCGGTTCAGAAAGAGCAAAAACGAATATCTACCAAATTTCATCGAAAAATATTCACCGATTTTCAAGATATTAGACTTTTACTTTTGTTTACTTTTTGGGATCTCCGCTGTTCCTAGCGACTTTATTTGAAAGTGCGGCATTTGTTGCGCGCAAAGCAGCATATACCACCGCGTGCTACAAAACGTTTTAGTCAAACATTTAACGGACGTTCGAAAGCCTGATGACGTCATCAGATTCCCGCAATGGTTAAGAGATAGGGACCACGCTGGTCCCACCCTGCAAGTAAAAGGAAGAAATTTCTTGAACACCATAAAGCTGCGGGGGTTGCGACCAGGATAAATGGTGGTTTCTGAGCCTGGCCGCAAACTTGGCTATCTCAACTCAAAACTAATGTTAAGGTGGGAGGGTCCCTTTAAAAGCTGCACCATTCAGCAATAAGTGATATGAATATGCAGCGAATGCGAACAGGAAACGCTCTGCTAGAAAATAGCCTTGTATCTTGTTAGATGTTACGCTACCATCTGAAATAGGCACCTAGAGTTTGGCAAACAGAGACATATCACATAGCTCGATCCAATTTAAATAAGTTTCTGGTGGCTTTGAACTTTTGTTCTGAGTGCTCACATGTTTATGTTAATGTATGAATGACATAGCTAAATTAGACACATGTAAATAGGTAAGACGTGTCATTGAGCCACTTACATGAATTTACACAATGGAATGCACCCAGCTGACAGCCGGGCTCTCTGCGAGTGGTTAATCGTAACTGCGACCGGGCTCCCGCCGGGCCATTTGATGTGATTTAATCTCCTTACTCTACATTCAGTGCACGCCCGCCGCCACGTCAGAGAGTCGACGTCTTCCCACATCGGACTGAGGTTGATTGCTCCGGTGGCTGACAGGCCGTGACAAACATTGAAGAGAAATATAACTGGTAGAAATGATCACATAAATAGCTCCGTCCTGTGGACAATGGTATTTCAGACAAGGGGCCTCGAAAGGCAAACAAGGGAGAGAGAGAGAGAGAGAGAGAGAGAGAGAGAGAGAGAGAGAGAGAGAGAGAGAGAGAGAGAGAGAGGGATGGATAACAAAACTGGGAAAGAGGACTTGTACTACTGCACACCACCATACCATAACATATGGAACACTGCGTACCGATTGTTTGAACTGTATAATAAGTAGTTGCCGTTGATTAACAAATGCTTGACAATAAAGGCAGCACGGTGCTACAAGCTGCGAACCGGCAAGGCAAGGTGTGGGACCTAAGGTAGACCTTGAATCGAGAACAATCATGAATAATGCTCCACCGCTGCTCCACCAGCTGGATAGCATCATCACCGCTGCGTGCCGCGCGGCTGCTGGTCGTGTCTCGGATATGCCGCCGCGGTATGTGGGTGGAGGGTCGCTCGTGCCCGCCGCTCGGCTCGTGCGGAGGGTCACTATGGGCGGCGCAGCGTCCGGCCGGGGATTGTGTCGGCGGCTCCTTCCGGCGCGGTGGTGCGCGGCAGCGGTCAGCAGTCGGCCGCGCCTCC